TCACAGATTTCGCTCTCACCTTCACTTTTGTGCTGTGTGCATGCATGCCATATTACATTCTATTGATCATAACTTAGAACAAGTTTTTTTTTTTAACAAGGATTTATTATTGTCGACATTTTGCGTTTTGACATTTAGCTGCTTTTCTGAAATAATATATGATTTTAAGCTTCCTGTCAGAGGATGCAGCATTGAATTCAGTATAAAATTCTATTGATAACTGTTTTATAGGCTACATTTTATGACTCAATAAATGGCACTTTATTTCCTCCCATTTTTTTTCCTGTTTTTCCAACGCTCTGTTCAAGTTATGAATAGTTTTACTAGAAACTTTGTACTTCCAATTTGAGCCTTCAATAAATGAACTTGCAATCGAATTGTTAATCGCTTGATCATAATCTATAAAATGGACTCCATCTTATCATCAATAACATTTCTGAAATAGGGATTTGAAAATGAATAATCAGTGAAAGAAAATTTCACTGTTCTGAAAATCTAACATATTGTCGAATCAAAAGAATTTGTATTAAAAAACCTTCCTACATATGCAGAATTGACAGAGCTTTTTAATTACCAAGCAATTATTTGAAAAAAAAAATATTCATTTTCACGGAAATAGTGCATCATTAACAAAATAAGTGAAGAGTAAGTACTATGTATAAAATTATAGAATGCAGTTAGGAAAAAGTTTCTTTTTTTTTTCTGTTAAAACTAATGTGTCTATAGAACTCAATACTGCATTATCTGACAGGAAGCTTATGATCATATATTATTTCTAAGTTCTAATATTTATAAAAGAAAAAATTGTTGCAAAACATCTGTGTTACATCCGGTTAATATAATAGTATCTTAAAACAAGAAAAATAATGACTTCAAAATCGATTTTTTTTTGAAAATTGATTAAATAAAAATTTTGAAATATCCATAAATTATTTAACCGTATGAAAATAAACATGAGTAAATCATTTGTATACTTTTATGAAACATAATTTGAAAAACATGTTAAAGTATCATGAGAATTTGATTCAAACATTTTCCTTACCTAAATACTTCTTATTTATTTTAATTATTCATAAAAATAATTCTCTTTACTTTTATAATAAATTCTTCGAGTAAAGTTTTTGTCGTTTACAACAACAAAAAAGTTTAAAAACTTTGCTTTGCCAGAATAATCAAAAAATAAATCTTTAAATTAGGCACATATTTAATCGTTCGATATTTAGCTTTATTTTTCTAAGATACATTCATTTTAACACACTACATAGATCAAAATAAGCTAAGCCTATAAGCTAAAAATTCAAAATATTACATTTACTTTTCTTTCTAGGAGAAATATTCAAAATAGATAAAATATGCTCATAGAGACTTTGCACAATTAGATTCAACAAAGAAAAAAAAAAAATACCAAAATCTTTCTATTAAAATGAACGATATACAGTACGTCCATTGAGTGGCATTACAGGCCGAAAATTTTGACTTAAATTTCCATTTGTTGTATGATTACCTTTACATACATATTTTAATTGACGTAATTGATCAAACTAGAAATAAAATTAACGTAATTGAAATTATTTTACTAATTATTAATAGTTACTTGACGTTTTGAAAGACCCATTTTTTCACGAAAAACTATCCAACGAACACTTTCATAACACATTGGTGTTGTTAATGAACCATCATATGTATAGTAAGCTTGCATATCTTCTAGAAAATTATTTTCAAACTTTAAATTTTAAGAAAAATAAACTTTATTTTTATATGATTTTACTTGGCATAAGATTTTTTAATGAAATAATTCCATGATTAAGATTTATTGTTTCATCTCTATAAGTAACTTTTGAAAGAAGATCAAGTAACTTAGCAAATTCTTCATTATCTGTTGGTATAACCTAAAAATTTTATTTTTTCTTTGTAAGAAAAATAATCTTTCAATTGTTTTTCTTACTTTAATCAATATACCAAAAACCATAATACCATCAAATTGTTCTGATGCTGCAGCAGCTTGTGGTGTCTTATACCTGCTTGTATTCCATGTTACAATATGTAGCTATAAACCATTATATTTTAAGCTTTAATAAATCAAAATTTAAAGATTTCTCATCTTACTTCGCCAGGTGAACGAACACCATCAATAACATGTTCGGCACCTTCAAGATCATTTGTTCCCCAATGCATATGAAATTGTAAAAATTGATATTCATCAACAACAGGACCACCGGTAATACCTATTTGGTACAAACAAAAAAGAAGTCGATGTCTTATTATTCAAATGATAAAATTTTGAAAAAAAAAAATACTTACGACTGTAACCTGTACCAGTTACTTGGAATGAATGACCTGTATTTTGAAGTGTTTGACAACAATTTTCATCAGCATCAAATATAAATGGATGCTGAGCAAGTTCTGGTTCATATTCGCAGTGATCAGTATAAATTCGAATAGGAGATTGAAATTTTTTACATTGAATTTCAGGAAATATTTTACCCCACATATGTGGTCCTATTTAAGTAAATAATTAAAAAAAGAAACTTATTTACTTTATTGAGACATCAAATAAACAAATGTGTCAATCTAACTTTTAAAAAAAACTATAGTAATATATGTGAGAAAAACAATTACATCAAAATACTTTTATTCTTGGATTTTATTTAAGTTCAAACGATGATAATTATCGTCATCCTTAGTGCATGGACATGAGAAATGCCAATTTTTTTTTCTTCTTGTTTAATTAAACACTTTATATGACTGAAAAAACGTGAGAAGGAGGATATTTCAGGACCATATTTCAATTAAAAAAAAACTTTTTTGTTGTTAGATATAGTATAAATTCAACGTCAACAGTTCAGATATATAAATGGATGATTGAATTAAAAAAAAATTATGTTACTACAGATTAAACAATTCGATCTCTTCTTATCTAAGAAAAAAAATCGAATTATTATATAGAATTACATTTTTTTTAAATTAAAATTATCTTTATTTCTTTTCTTTTTTTTTCATTGACAATAGCATGCATTATTATAAACTCTACCAGAAGAAGAAGAAGAAGAAGAAGCATTATACTTTTATGAATAATAAATGATGGGAATTTTTTTATTAAGCACAAAGAAAAAATAAAAATTGGATCTTAATTTAAAGAAATAAAAACTATGCATGCTATATTTTACTTTTATCCAAGATAAATTTTGTTTTGATTCTTTTTGAATAACATAGTAAAAAAATTATAAACACATTGTTTCTCTTATCTTACCATGAGATACAGAATAATCCCAATATTCTTGATTTATATTTGGTGTTTCATCTAATTTATTTTTCTTGTCTTGATCACCATTTTGAAACGTAATAGATGGAGATTGTGTAGATGTTAATGAAATATGTTCTTTTTTATAGTCATTTGTTGCTTTAGTTGATCGACGAATTTGTATTTCAATATCACCCATTTCAATTAGTATTGATGTAAAAAGAAGTGATTGCGATTGATTCTATATTTATTTTATATGACAGTAGTTTTGTATTTATACATCTGTATCAATCAACTTACTGTTGTTCCTTGTTTTAAATGAATAGCGATTCGGTCATTACCAGTACCGACGACTATAGATTGTGTATCATCGTCCATCACGTTTGTCATCCTTTTCAGCAAACAAACACTCAGTTTAGATCTTTGTTAATCTATTTTGTTTTTGTTATTAGAGCTTGAGTATATATGTATATATAGATAGATAAAACAGAGAGAAGATCTTGCTCTCATTGGTATTTTTCGCTTATTGTCAGAGAGATTTTTTCTTTATGATTATTAAGATGCGTGCCACCTTTACGTTATGCAGCGGCGTCATGAAAGAAAGAGAGAGAGACAGAGAGAAAAAACAAGAACGAGGAAAATAGGGAGGGATAGAATGATAAAGAAAGAGATAGAAAACATCATAACATGCCAACTTCCGATATTTTCACGCATACTATTGATCAACTAATTATTTTGTTGAAGCGATAAGAAAAAAAAAAGGAAAGTCGATTATCATCAAGCACTTTTTTTTACACCTTTCACATTGATAGAAACGGAAACTAAATGCCATGAGTAGTCGGTCGTCAAAACACGTTTATTAAGTGAGGTATAATAGAAAAAATAGAAAAATTGATAATGTTTTGCCTTTTTCATTTTATATGTCTATGATATTTCATATAAAACATTTAAGTAAAAAGCAAAAACAAAGATTAATGTTTATTTTCAAAATATATTCATATGTCATAGACATGTAGGTTCTTTTTCTTTTTTCTTTCTAAGTCTGTTTTCTATATAAAAAAGAAACCAGAATTTCTGTTTATATAAATAATTCAATAAAAGAATATTTGATTAAATCATTATCTATACACAATAGATAAAAAAAAAATTTTCTATATCGATTAAAATTAATATATCAATCATAAGCATTTTAAATTAATCTTAATCAGAAAATCACAAAAAAGAACAGTAAGATGATTATTGTTATATGATAAGCTTAGTTTTTCTTTTTCTTTTTTTAATATAGACAACACCAAGGACGATTGCATTTAGAACTTGTCACATTTTTCAGTTCATCAAACAGAAAGATTACAAACTTATGTTTTATTATCTTTCAAATAAAGTGTTTTGAAAAAAAAATTTTAATGAATTCAGATTTTCAAAACCAAAAACAAAAAAAAACCAAGGTCCAATCTTTGTTTTTTATTTAATCATTTTGTTTTTCAATCAATTCTATAGAATTATTTTTATGATAATGTGAAACAGAAAAACAAACAATATGTTGAAAACAACATATAACTGTTTTTTTTCTTCTCTTAATAAATATGTACTTAGTCCATTTCATTGCTTGAAATGGGATTAGTAGTGAAAGAACTATGCATGTGATTGTTGTCATCGAAAATCAGTCAGCAACCACAACATAAAACGAACATCATTTGAACACTGGTAAAAAAAATGTAACATGACATAAAAATTAATAATTTTATTTTAGGTTAATATAATGTCCAACAAACAGCCTGAAGAACAGCTTATGTCATCTCGATCAGAAATTATATTTTCTAATCATGAAAAAAGTTAGTTATTTTTTTTGTTTAAGACTATCGAGTACAATGTTGTCGATTCTAATTTAGTTGATAAAAAGAGATCCTGTCATTCTCCACTTAGAAGTCCGGAACCTGTACGAACTCCTTCTCGACGTTCTGCTCGCTCAGCATGTATTATACTCTTTTTATTTTGAATAAATGAAATATTATCTAATTTTTCTTCGAAAGCAACCAACTGCTGTGCATATTGTAAAATTCCATTATTAACCGATGTTAACGGACGTGAATCATTAAATAAATCTCGTGCATCAGTATAGTTATAACTTAAAACAAAATATTATCTATCTGTAAATTTATTTAAAATCTAGAGTACATTTCAATCTGAACGTTTATGTCAAGAATGTAGTCAAGAAAAAACACAAAATCGACGAACTCCAACAAGTCGTTTGCTAAAATCAGCTTCTGTTAATTGGTCAAATATGGGTGGAAAAATTGGTAAAATCAATAAAAAACATGTCTTTTTTTTTTGTTATTCATTTTCTTTTCACTTATATATTTCAGAAACATGGTTTGAGAAGGCACGAACACCAGGTATTTCATTAATCATGAATCAGAAAGATATTCTTAAAAAACCCCCTATTATTTTAATAGAAGATAAAATTCTAGAGAAAAACAAAGTTCCATTGACATATTAATAGATAAACTTTTAATGCTTCTAAAATAGAAATTATTTTCTTCAAGAAAAATAAATGACATGACTTATCATTATATAGAATGTTATTCTTTTAACATTTTAATGTCGAGAATTGGAGATGACAATTCTATGAACAACTATGCTTTTTTTTTTCTTTTATCGGTTAACAAGAAATATTTAACTTATACCATGTGTCTAATATTTCAATTATTTTTAAAAAGAAAAAATTTCATATTTTACTTCTCTGTATCAATTTCGAGTACTTACAACTATTTGTATTTTGTTACCAGAGAAGACAACATAATGAAATATCGAAAAATTAACAACTGTCAACTTTAGATTAGGAAATCTATTTTTTTTTGGAGAAAAATAGCATGAATACCTAAAGGAATCTATACCTTACTGCTAGATAATCTCTGATTAGAATGTTATTGTTAAGATTTCTTTAAAAGAATATATGAGTTCAATGATACCTGTTATGTAAAAATCTTTACTTTATTATTAATGTCTTCACACTAAAAAAAAAACTTGTTCTATCTTTGTTAAATGTTTACATATGCAAAAAAATATAAAGAAAAGGACAAGGCAGTGAAGTGCATCATTTATGAAAATAGAAAAAGAGAAACACATGGAGAAATGTTGTTCTAACATGAACAAAGCAATTATAAGATTTATAAGAAAAAAGGGTTAAGAATACAGATGTTATAGTTTTGATTTATTCATATGTTGAATAGTCGGAGAAAATATTTTCTCTTTTAATTATAATATTCTTAGTTTAATTCGTATTAGAAATTTATTGCTTAATTATATAATTTGATGAGACATATCGTCTACTGAAGCTCTTATCATAAGAATAGATAATAGAGCACGTAGGCAAAAATTCAATTTCTTCTTATATATTTAATCTTTACTAATAAATGAAATTAGGATTAGAGATAAACAGTTTTGCATTTTTATCAGTTTAATCATGATACACACTTAAACTATAAATATATTATTACTGTGTGAGTCTATTCATTTATCTTTCATCATTTTCAAATTAGCAAATAAATGATATACTAACCATTTATTACCAAATCCAACTGAAGGCGTATGGTAAAAAATTGTTTTTCAAGCGTGTTGTTGTCGAGAGTAAACACAAGGGAAAAAAGCCAATAGGCAGGTCGATCTATTAAGCACGTCAATTATGACTGTTGTTGTTGTTGCTGTTTGTTATCAATAAAGTAGTCGTTTCGATAAAAAGTTCTAAAAGAATTGTTTATTAAATAAATATACATATAAAACTATGTTGTTCTATTTTTTTTTTGATCTGATGAGTTGATTCATCACTGACCATAAATTTAAGAAATGTAATAAGAAAACAAATAAGATTGTAAATAGGTCAATTTTTTTATACTCCTCGTTGTTAGTATTGCTTTTTTTTCTTTCCGATTTCCTTTATATTTGTAGAAGGTTCAGACAGTCTCGTTATTGAAGAACTTGTTAATATGGTTTAAGTAGCCGAATTAGAAAAAAAAGAGGAACAAAGCAATAATAATGTTAGAACGGAACAAGAATAAGGAAATGAGAGATTCAGAAAAATGTCTTTAGTTTTTTTTTTCTTTCATTTTGATGTAATTTACAAAAACTAATGTTGAGTATTAAAATATCTGATTTCTGTCATATCATACAATTGTCAACAACATCATCAAGGAAGATCCTTTATACGGAATTGTATAGCTTAGAGCAATAAACACAGAACTGAAGAAAGAGCAAACAAGAAGGTGGATCGATAATGGAGGAAAACTAGCGAATCCTAATGTTGATCGTCAGACTACAAAGTCGACGCTTTGCTTCTTATATCCATATCTTTCTTATTTTTTTTTCTTTCTCTTTTATTCTATCATTTGTATTTGGCTTCGTCATCTCTTTTTCTTCGTCTTTTGAAGTGGATAAATATAGTTACGTGTCTTTGCCGATCCTTTCTTATTGAGCATCATCCACTTTCTTTCTTCGTATTCATAACTTGCACTAATCAACGATTTACATATGTTGAGAAGAATAATGAATATCGAAATACCCATTGATAATACTCATTCTATAGAAATAGAATAATCGGCTCCTTTTCATAATCATTTTTTTCTATCGCTTTTCTTTTAGAGAATTCCATAGAGAATCTAGAAGTCTTTTCTTTTGACATGCATATATTTTAAGGAAAAAAAAAACAAGTCACTTGATTAATCGAAAATGATTAGTATTATTACTACGTATATCTATAGCATGTAAAATTGTGTACATATCATAATTATATTGTGCGATATGTCATCTTGAAAATTTGTGCATAAGTATTTCTTATCTACATATGCAGATACATACACATACTAAACTCATTTATTTATCTAGATCAAAAAGTTGTCTACAATTTTTTGGAACAAATTAATAATGAAGAAAATAAAAAAAAGGAAAAAATAATGGAAGAAACAAATGCAAAAAATCTTGATGATGTGCTTGACAGTTTAAAAAAGTAATTTAAAAGAAACAAAAATTTTATTCTTATATATATGCAGTGGCTTCCAAAAGTATTCAATCTAGTTTATTTTTTATTACCGTCAATGCTAAAATAAGAATCAAAATAGTGATTTGTGTAGAGAATTTTCTAAGATATAAATCACATTATTAGTTTTACCAGGATAGAATCTCTGGAAAATCGATATCCATGTTTTGCATCTACTCGATTTCATTAATAGAATTCTGCTTGAATTACCCAGAATGATAGAAAAAACAATTCTTCAGAAAATGAAATGTCCTCCAGATTTTTACGATGTTTTTTGACCCAGACACATCAGTCTTATGGGAGGTACTAAAGTCATTATTCTCTGTTATATGTTGTATAGAAAAAAAATCATTTTTATGCCTTCTGTAAGATTGATGTATTTTGGTCAGACAATGTCATAGAAAACTGAAAGACGTTTCCTTTTTGAAGAGAATCAGTTATTCAATCGATCTGAATAATCCAAGCAGAATCTTATTAATAAATTCAAGCAGATAAAATACTTAAGTTTTTTTAGAAACGCTATCCTTGGAAAGCTGACAATTGTTTTTATGTGCAAAAGTTCTTGTTAGCAATGTCTATATAAATCACTGTTTGATTTCTTATTAACATTGATAGTAGTGGGAAAAGATCGAAAATAAATCTGGCCGAAGAATTTTGGGAATTAATGCATGTACCGAATGGTTCAAAAGTTACCTAACCGAGAGGCAATTAAAATATTTCTAGTAGACAGGCTGATCCTTTTACTAATAATAAGAACAAGACACGAAAGAGAGCCTTTCTTAAATATCAAGATCGGCTTCAACAAAAAAAAATTTACTTCGTGACTGATAGAAAAATAATAATGTACGATGAAGACGAAACAATTTACCAAGATAGAATGTAAATAAACTTTTGACTGACACATGTCGTTCGTTCATATGTCTTTTTTCTTATTATTTTTTCTTCTCTTAGCTCTACTATAGTGCATATGAATAGTCTGCACCATATAAATCTGTTTTCTTTCTATGATGTTGGTCATATGCGTACAACATCTGTTTATGTTTATTTTGCGTATTCTCGCCAAATGTTGTTCTTCATGTTCTTTCCTATGTACTCAGCGTATAATGCCAGTTGAAAGTTCAAGTATTAGCGGATGCAGGATAATATAGGAAAAGAAGTGCAGACAAGGCGAAAAAACAAAAAAACAAACTTATTAAACAGATGTTATATAAATACAAAAAACAGCGTAAAAAGACAAGTGACGTATATCATTTAGATTATCCATGCACAAGAAAAGCGACAATTAGTCGAAGCGACAAATGGCCGTTGTGACAATCATTCGCAATGCAGAGTTGGTTGCATGTTTGACGGTAGAATGATTCCTAATTCATTTTCCACAAACTTCAATTTCCGGACATGTAATTCAATCACACACAGAACTATGCGAGAATGAGAGTGGTTTGTGAAAAATGTAGAGTTATTCTATGGAATGGATTCTGAAATGATCTTGCTAGTAAAATATTATTTATTAAATGTTGACATTCAAATTTTGAAATGTTACGAAAACACTACTACTTGCTCTAATGTAAAGATATATGCTCAATTAAAATAGTTTATTAAATATTCGTTATTATACTCAAATTTAATGTTCGTTGACCTTGAATAAATTGTTAGTTATTTTCTGGATCTTCGTAATCTATTTGTTTATAATACTAAAAATTGTTGTTTTTGCCGATTTTATTTTTCATTATTGCGATTAATTGTCGTAAACTCCATGTAAACAATAGTAGAGCCCTAGGAGAAAAATAATAAGAGAAAAGCTATATAAACGAACGAAGTACGACGGTCAAAAGTTTATTTGATTATTTACATTTTATGCCACTTCTTCATCATATATTGTTTGTTTCCTATCTATGAAAAAATAAAATTTTTTCTTTATTAAAAACCAATAGTGATACTTTAGAAAAAGGTTCTCTCTATTCTTGTCTTTATTATTAGTTAGAAAAAACAACTCGTTTGCTTGAGCTATAACAGAGATATTCAATTGTTTTTCGGTAAAGTAACTTTTGAACCATTTTTCATGTATCTTTCTTGTAAAAATATTATTTAAATAGATATCAAGCACGTTTTAATTCACCTCGTCCTCGAAGTAAATTTACAAGTGCATTTGAATCATCAAGTTGGCGTGTTATGCGTCATCCAACAACATCTTATCAATTTAGCCGTTATAATGCTGCTTATGGTGATGAAGCTTCGCGTGATTTATATGTTGGTTCAATACTTGCACCAACAAATCCAAGAGTTCGTTCTACTTTTTTAATACATCCCAGTTGGGTTTAAAACAAATCTTTTAAACAATATTATTTATATTCGACAAAAAAAAAAAAACAACAGACATTTTTAATATGAAATTTAGAAAAAAAGAAAATTGTTAGATTCAATATAAATTATAATTAGTAGGAAACAAATTATATAATATGCGTTTGTTTTTTTCTTGACTTATATATAAATAATAAAAGAAATATAAAATAAAAAAACACAAAAAGAATAGTATATTTATCCATACTTGTAAAATTATAGAATGAATTAGCTGAATAAGTGAAAGACACATCTGGCGTAGAATTATAAGTTATCATTAGCAGATCATTGGAAATGTTTATTATCAAAAAGTTTAACATGTCATCTAATGTTTCGTTGACTGTTGCTTCTGTCACCATCAGATTTGTTGATGATAATAAGTTGCCGATAATATTGCCATGAAAAAATAGCAGCACGATTATGATACGATAAGTCAATGTCTACTTTGGTATAATATTTTTTTGTATATTCAAGAAAACAAAAAAACAACTCATTTGAAGTAAATAAAACAAGACTTTGTTCGAACCTATTCAAAGAGAATATATAACTATAATTATGAAACATATAACTCATTTTATGGATCGATTCAGCCGAAGAAAAAACGAATAAGAACATTTCGACTCAAATTTCTACTTAGTACTTGGCCCGTTTTCTTTTATATTTTCGTCATTGATATCATTGAATGTATATTAACATGATACGAACAAATAAATATGTATATTGTCCAAGAAAGATGCTGAAATACTTTTAATCTATGTACATAAAAGATATAAAATATAAAAAATGAACGATTTAAATGACATGTTTGATTTATATCAATTGTTTTTAACGAAAATGTTTCTATTTGGTATGATAGAAAAAAAAACAAATGGATGTGTACTTCATTGCTGATGATAAACTAGATCTCTGGAGAATATCTAAAAAATTAAAATTAATAAATGATGACAGTTGAGTGTTTTAGAGGATTGATAGATATTTGACGTCATAAAATATCCTAAATATCTAGGTCATAAAAGAAGCTCAATGAAGCAAGACGATAAACTCATTGAATTGTTTATCAAGTATTTTGATAGACCTAGTCATGAATTAGTTAGTAGTTTGAGCAACAGCTCCCATGTAGTTCAAAAATGAACGGTTCGAATTGAAATGGAACTGTCACATACGCAATCAAAATTGATTAAGGATTTTTTTTTTCTATGATATATAATACGTATGTGTCATGATAAAAAGAAGTATAATTAATGACATTTCTTCTTGTGATGAATATTCAAACAGACTTTTCAAATGCACGTAATAATATATAGAATATTTTTGTAAAGCTTATTAATAAGAATTAAAACTGATATCTATCATAAAAAGAAGTAAAATATTTCATAATTATAATATTGAATTAATGTAGAAAGATCGAGAGAAAAAGTATCGAAAAAAAGTGATGTGATTAGTAAATACTGACTTTGATGTTTATAATCTATTCTCATTATTCTATTTATATGAATCTGTAAGCCGTAGTAACAGTAATGAATAATATCTAATAGAGATCAACTAAACTAGTCAGAAAAATAACTACTATACTACTGAAAGTCTATTATCATAGCCTGAGCTGCTTCGTCTTCATCAGATGTACGTGAGCCTATCATCACCAGTTACTTCATTTATTAGTTTTATTCGTATAGGATGATTAGATTTTCAAAATGCAACAACTACAAAATATATGCATACTTAATGAACGCTCAGCAAAAGTTCTTACAAATTCAAACAATCAAAATGACTTTAAATGATTGACGATCACGGTCACTGCATTTTTTCATCTCTTCACTTATATATAATCTCTGTTAGAATGTTACTATTATTTCATAGAATAATAGCATTTGCCTTTGTAGTTTGAACTTTTCAAACTACTTTCCGACTATTTTCCACTTAGATAGTTTTTCTTTCGATCCGTCCATGACACACCTACACAAATTGACAAGATAAGGATAAGACATGCAACGTACTTGTGTACATAAAATTGCATGTTGATAAGTTAGAATTCATACGGGAATAAATTTATTAAAAAGTTTTATACACAATCTAGGTCATGATAAGCACGCGAAGTTTTTAAAAGAATGTTCTTATAAACTACTTATATGTTATTTTGACAAGATTGAGTATCTTCTTTATCAGATAGTTTTAAAATTAATTTACTTAATAACTACAGTCAAAGACAAAAGTTTAAGCGAAAACCCTAGTCGAACATCTTGTAAGCAAGATCTTGGTCAAGATCTTCGGTACAGAAAAGTGAACAGATCTTGAAATTTTAGGTACAAGATAATACTATTATCTTGTACCAAGATCTTGAATTAGATCTTGGGTACAGATTCATAAGGTCTTAGGTACAGATTTATAAGATCTTGAGTATAGATCTGTAAGATCTTCGGTATATNAAATTCCATCATTTGGACTCAACATCACCCTCTATGAGTTTCATTTGGGTCCCATGCTCAAAAGTCAAGATTCAGCATACTGAAAAATCCTGGATACGTCACTGTTTTCAATTAAAACTTTTAAGATATATAAATCCATAGACGAAATTTTAAATCGAAAGTCGAAAAAATTTGTCATAACTTAGTATGAAAGTTTCATTTGGACGAAGTCTTTTTGGCTTTTGCTAATGTTACCAATACCTTTCTTAGGACTCAATATGAATTCAAATAACGGGTGTCACTTGGGGTAATCTCCTCATCGGCATATTTCTTTATGAAAGAAATATATTGATGATTCACAATAGTAAACTTCACAGATCTTTGTAATCTCATAAAAACAAAATTTTTTTATTTCTCTCTTTTCCTAGAAGATAATGAATAGAAACATCTACTTACACTGTACCACCAAAACAACCTGAATGTAAATCTTTTGTTGAACATTCAACATCAATAAAGAAATAACAAATTCCTCTAGAACAAAACAAAATAAAATAATTTAAAATAAAATATTAGATATTCTTTTATACCGAAGACCATATTGTAAACAAGGTTTTTCTTTACCTAACCAATAACTATCCGAAATAACAACATAATCAACACCAGAAAGAAATGTATTTTTTAAAGATTTAAGTAAATCTTCAAGACCTTCACTACCATATTCTTCCATACTTTCAAGAACAAATTTAACATTAACAGGAAATGGTTCATTTAATTTTTGATAAGCTTCAATAACATTAAGCCAACTAATAACTGGACCTTTATCATCAGTTGAACCACGACCAAATAATTTTCCATCTTTTTCTGTTAATACAAATGGTTCTGTATCCCAACCATCTGCAACTTGAGCTGGTTGTACATCCAAATGACCATAAATTAAAACGGTTTTTTTTGTTTTATCATTTCCATAAGTACCTAAAATAACATCTGGTAATTTGATTTTTGTTCCATCACCAAGTTTTTGTTCGCCAATATCGGCTAATTCAACTTTAGCACCTAATTTTTCCATAACAGATTTTGTCCATTCAACCATACGAACAACTTGAGGTCGATTATCAGGCCATGCTGATACAGATGGAATGCTAACAGCTTCACTTAAACGTTGAATATAATCTTTTTTATGATCATCAAAATATCTATTCAATTAAAAATAATTTATATTTCATTTTTTTTTTTTTTTGTCAATTCAAATATCTTACTGAAATAAACGTTTGTTAAAATCTTCGTTCGACATTGTTGTTTTAGATTGATAGATGAAGTCTTTTTTTTTTATCTAAAACTATCAAAAAGCAAGTAAAATAGATCGTGAAACAAGTTTTTATAAGTCAGTTGTATTTGCATATGATAATGGTTTTATATATGTAATGGTCAAAGTTTCTGTAAGATAAAATTAAGTGCAGTATTAAGAAAAAGAAAAAAAAACGACATATTCCCTAGGAGTCGTTAACGCCTATACTTCGCTCGACATTGTCATTGAAGATATTACCTGAAAAGAGTATATATCGCTTAATGTTCGTGTCTCTCAAATATTCTATTGGAGAAAAGGTAAATATCAGAAGAGATGAATTATGAAGACAGCGATCATTCTAGAACAGAAGGAGAAAACCGTAAATTATCATGAATAGACTTGCGTTAGCAACAGTTTCTATTAATAGTGATCATATGTAATAAAGAATCAACCTAAGACGGAGTATATCTATTAAATTCCTCGCATTTTAAACTTAACTGTATCTCAAACTGATAATAATAAAAAAATGTTTTTCAAATAACAAAAATGAATATATATGCCTCTGTATTGTTACAACGATATAAATGTCTAACAAGTAAGGAGAATAGTTAAATGTTAAAAATAATAAATCCTTGGTAAACAACTTTGTCTAAGCTTTGGTCAATAGAATATAACATGGTATATATGAATACACCCAGTACAACAGTGAGAGTGAAATCTGTAATTAAAAAGGATTTGAATTTTCGATATTTATCCACGAAAACAACAATTAGCTTCATTATTTTCATTGAGTAAGCCATGAGAAATAAAAAGAAATATTACTTTAAAAACTTTTTTTAACGAGCAACAGAGAGTATCCTTGTTTTATATCTATATATATATATATAATGTGCCACATTTTCTCTGTTCATCAAAGCACAGTTCAGTTCTACAAGAACCACGCTAATACGAATATGAAGAAACAAAACAAAATCCAATAATGTATACAAAAAAAAAGGCACTGAAGAGAAAAGAAAAACATCTCTTTCTATCTCTTTAAAGATGTATATACAATTTAACAAAACTAAAAATGAAATGAAACGAAAATAAAAACAAGAAACGGAACTGGTTTTGTTTTTGTTTATAAACAAAAAACGAACGAAGCCCAACCAAAACAAAAGAAAACGAAATGAAAGAAATGGTCAAAATATGATCGCGAGAAATCTATGGCACAAAAAAAAAGCAACTCTACAATAAAATGTTTTATGTCTGTACACAACGACGTTGTCGATTGCCAAGAAGAATATTATCAAGATCAAGACCTGAACCAAGAAATGATTTTTTATTTCTATTTGTTGAAACAATAGAAGAAGAAGAAGAAGACAAAGAGGAAGAAGTTTTTACTGATTTAATTTTTTTAGATTTTTTTAATGAAGTTTTTATTATTGACTGATGATTTTGTTCAATATGAGATTTATTTGTTTTTGTAGGTTTTATTTTTTCAATAATTGTTGTCGATGGTTCTAATGGTTTTGTTCGACGTAATTTTACACGTTCTTCAATAGATAATGATGGTAATACATCAATAGAATCCATTGGAGATATATTTAATGATTTTGTTTTGCCTTGATTAGTTTGTTTTTTCTTTTTATCAGTATTACCTTGACTCGATTTGATGACAGTCTAAATTTAGAATTCATTTTTACCTAGAAATCATTAAAAAAGAATATCCAATAATGTATCCCTTTTTTTGTAGAACATATCAATTGAATAGAAAAAAAAACGCAAAAATTAGAAAATGATAAGTTTTCGATGTCTCTATTCAGATCATTAAGCACATAATGAACTTATAATGACGTCTAGAGTTTTTTTTTTTTTTAGTATGAGTATTCAAACATTATTTAACTGATAAAATATCAAAATCGATCGTCATTGTGGATTCAATGTTACGACAAAAAAAATGATTTGTTTCTTTTCGGTTCTTCAGTTTGACATGAAAACTCCAATTTGTAATACTTTATTTTTGCAAGATTTCATCTATAATATTCTTCAGAAAATTAGTTTTATCTCTATTTTTGAACATAGATCTGTATCGTAGTCATGGTCGCGAACAATATACAACATTTTTCTCTATCGAAGATTGTTCTATTCTCACATCTCGAAAGACATTTTGAAGAAGAAAAAGTTCTGAACCAAAGGTCTAGATCGGTTTATTCTTCTAGTCTTGTTATGATGAGCTATTGTGAAAAAGATTTTCTTTTCTTTTCGATCATAATCGTGATGCAGATCCACAGAATAGATGAAATAAAACAATTTTCCTATTATTAACAACAACAGTTACATTGTGTTTCATATTTTAATCCCACAGGGATTGCGCTACCAGATTCTCTTTAAGGACTGCATTATTTTAAAAAAAGAAGATAATTAATTTCTCCTTTCAAAAGATTTATTCTTAATGTTTAATAAATAAACCAAACATGTGTCTCAAATCGTTCTATATAATGTGCATTATACCGGCAGTACTTATGAATAGGACGAATAAATATGCAACATGATTCGTTTACTTATTTTAATTTCTATATTCAATCATACATACTTTAGATGAAGTTTTATTATCTTGTTTTTTTCCTGATTGTGAACGTGAATTAGTCATTAGTGTTCGTGTAGCTAAACGTGTACGACGAGATCTATTCGATGTTTTCTTATTTGATCGTGTATTTGAAGATGATTTATTTGTATTTATTGAAATACTTGGTACTGATATTGATATATCATTTGAATTTGATAAAATTAATGAATTATTTTCTTTATCACTTGAACTACGATCAATTGATACCGTACGATTTGTAGTTGATATTGTTTCATCTAAAAAAAAAAAAGAACCATAATTATGAATCATTGACGAAGAAAAAATATAATAATAATAATAAAATGTTTTCATACTCGTACGATTCGAAGATCTACGATGTTTTTTATTTTTTCTTTCACGTTGATTTAATGGTAAATCATCATTATCATCGGAAACAGGCTGTAAAGAATATGAATGATCAGTGAGAAATGTATAATTACTTAACATCATTATAACATCAATTCATTGAATAATTATATCAATAGATTATCAATCATCTGATATAAAAATATAATGAATGAATAAGGTTTCTAGAAAATAAACGATTTGATCTGACAGATATGTTTAAGAAAATAAATAAACAACAATTATTAGGTAGTACTCGCATAATTTACAATTGGTTATATTTTATTCATTCATTCAGCTTGATCATTCAATGAATTAATAATAAAGAAAACAAAAATAAATTTTCATTAAAATGAAACATTTTCGATTTTAGTTTTCAAAAATATTTTAAATATATCGTTTTGAATTTTTTTTTATATTAGAAATTTCCAAGTGTAGACTAGCGACATCTGTGTATTTTTGTGTTAAACTCATTTCAAAGAGAAATAAACATGGTACAAGGGTTAATCGTCTGTGTCTTCGCAATATTTTTCCATTTCCTTTAACAAAAAACGTAGAAAAAACAGTCGATAGGACCTTGAATTGTCTTCAAAACAAGTTCTTTGACCATGATCACGCCCTTCTCGAAACTCTAGATCCACCTCTGAATAATAGATATTCGATTGATTCATATCTAACCTTGTGGTGATGGGAAAACCTATATATATATACATTTTGAACTTTTGCATAGGTTGCAACTTGTACATTCATCTATCTTCACTAGGCCATAACAGTGTTCTGTCTTTCCCTTTAATACACTAGCATTACATAATGTCATCATGTGACACAATTATCCATATATATCAAAAGGAAAGAAGGAATTTTATGTCTGGAATTACTCGACAGTCTTTAGAACAACATGAAGCCAAACAAAATTTCATAACGTCTCGTGGAATGTCAGAATCCTTATTGTAAGATGGAGCTGTTGATGTTACTAAAGCTCTAATGCTACAAATAATCACATGTCAAATTTTATGAAATTTGTTTATGATGTAGGATTTCAAAGTTCTTTGTTGAACCACCTGGAAAATTTTATAAAATTCTGCATTATTCTTCTTGACTGTGCAATTTCACACTTTGATACAGTTCGATAACTCATCCTACGAAAAACATCCTGTCGCCAAAGTGTTAATATTTTAAATTATTGAATCTTTCTTAATAAAGAAATAAGTACTTTTTTATGTTAGAAATTCCATTTCCATCTGCCATAGCTCAATATTTTCAAACGAAATATGATTTATGACCAGTCAATGATAGAATCATAAAAATCAATTAATAATTTAATGATTGAACAGTAAATACAATTGATTAACAATCGAATGCATCCAAGGCATTAGTGACGAAATGTATAAGCTGAGAAAGTTTTGAGCCTCATCCAAATTTCGTAATTTAAGACTTGGTCACAAGCAAGTTTAGCTTTATTTGATAAGAGACAAATCTCATTTTAGTACGCGGAGATTAAAACCTCTAATACGTTTATCTATATGTTGTGACGAAGAAAACCAAACAAAAGTAAACTCATTGACTGTAACGTCATGGTTCATAGTCACATCTTGTATCTTATTTACATAAAGTGATATTTAAACAAAGCAAATCGAAGAATTATTTGATCGACAGGATGTGGGTGGGTCTTGTCCTACATCCACTCCCATATCCACCGCCCACACCCTAATTAAATGAACAATTTCTTATTTATATGAGACAATTAAACAAATTTACATTTTATATTAAGACAGAAGCCTCATCTGACAACGTTAGATTTGAACTTCCAACGCATGAAGATATTCAATGTAGTTTTATTGAAAAAAAAATATCTAAAAGTAGCTTCATATGTTTATACCCAATTATCATCCATGTAATTGTATATGCCAAATTTATTCACTTCTCTATGACTTCGAATATTTAGTGATCTCGACAATTCTTTTCAAAGTTGACGTTTTTTTTATAAAGTTCGGCAACTGAAAATATTGACTATGCCAAATTATTTACTCTTCAAACAAAATATACATTTATCTCGTTTGTTTAATCTCTCCATCGAATATGAGTCATTCATAACGATAACAAACAATTTTACCAATGATACAACGTATTTCAATCATTTATTTGTCGAGAAAGTTTTCAGAAATGTTTTCCTTTGTTATAAATTTTTTCGATAAAATAAAATATATGAAGAAAACGAAATAGTTTTTATTTATACTAAACTAAAATAAAGAACACGAGAATAATTAAATGACACTCAACTTTAAATTACGATCTAAAGATATTCAAATGTCTATTAACGAGAAATTCTATGAAACGAATTGTCGGTTACAAAAAATTTGATTTCCACTTTATTCCATTCACTTCTTTAACCTATCAGTATAGTTACAAATATTAAATATCGATCGGAAACTTGAATTTGAAAAATGAGTAGACATGATATTCATTACTATGAGAATTTTATCGTTAGATATCAATTGATTGTTAAAGAACATTATCGATTGATCATTTTAATTAGAGTCTATCCGCTTTATCATTCAGATCGAAAACGATAAAAAGAAACACTTTCACTCTTTTCACGTCTATGTCCTTATCTAGAAAAAAAACTTGGATAAATCTCAAACAGAAGTAACACTGTTCTTCAAAATTGAAATTTGATAAGAATAATTGAAAATTTTAACGCATCTACTTCATTCATAAGTTCTGGTCTCTACGTCTTATGGTGAACGCGTGTAAATATTAATTACAACTCGAACTCTCACTCACAGCCATCCTGAAGAAAAGATAGTTAGATCGCAATGAATTATAATTTGTAATACTTGACATTATTTTGCGGCACTAGTACAATTTGTCGCATATAAACGAGAGGATACATTAATTGATTTAGTTTAGTATGTTATTTAATTAATAAACCTTAAAATGTTGTCCATTGGAGTCTAAGAACTCTTTGTTGATAATACTTTTTTTCGAAAAAAATGATAGGAATGTCAATTTACAATTTTTTTAACCTAAATTAAAATTTAGACATTTAAAATTTAAATTTTTGTTTTTTTCAATGTAATAAATTGTTTCAGTCCGATATAGTCATCGATATTTGGAAAGTACATGACTTAAGCAATAATACATGAGAAGTAAGAGGAAATCCGGATATTTAAGTTCAGAATATGTTTATAAATCTGAAAATTTCTGAACTCCAATCATCCATATAATAAAGATGCTCAAACACCCAAATTGATTAGCACAATTCGTAGAAGAAGGACTATTTTTATTTCTAGAAAACATGAAAACAAAATTGGCTTGTAACACCTTCAATAAGTTCAAAATCAATTTGAATCAGCTATTTCTAAAATTCCCACAATTTAAATTCAAAAAACTTAATTTAAGTTTAAATTTTCAGGTAAAAAATTATTTTTTTTTAAATTTAAATGTGCTATCTCTAAATAATGATATCCTAATAACACTCTAGTGTTATAAAATTTAATACGATTATTTTTATTTAATGTTCGCAGCACCGAAAACCTAAAAGCCATTTCGAAAATTTTCGAAGTCACTTTATTCACTGATCGAGCAGCTTTGCAAATCATAGGAAATATAGTCGCAAAAAATATTGAATAAGTTTATACACACCAAGTAGCAGTGAATTTTGCCTTCATTCCTTCTTAGTTTTTCTTAGCTGAAGATTTCATCAGAAGTCGTCTCCTGAAAGAACTTGAGTCTCANTGAACTTATTGAAGGTGTTACAAGCCAATTTTGTTTTCATGTTTTCTAGAAGATTTCATCAGAAGTCGTCTCCTGAAAGAACTTGAGTCTCATTTAGTAGCAGACTATTTGCACTTCAACAGGATTTTGTAATTAATTTTTTTAAAATTAAATTATTTGTTCCTTCGAAGTGCGTTTTCTATCTATCATGTAGATCTAATTATTCCATAGTATCGCCAGAAAAATCACTTAAAACTTTAACTAGGGTGCCTATTACTTCTGAGTGATTAATTCTAAACCTCATACAGTCTTGTGGTTCTTCAATCGATGATTTCAATACAGACCTGACATTTGAGAATTCACTGTAAACACCTCACGAGTAGGTTTGTTTTCAAAGAGGTTGATTAAAAACCTTTAAAACAGTCATATCAAAAAAACCTGCAAAATATGTCTCGATGCATCTTCATCTCTTCTTTCAAGCAATGAAGACTGCAGCTCTCGATCTTATTTCTATCAAAAGTTATTTAAAAAATACCCACTAAACAAGCTCTAGTACTACCAGGCACATATCATAGCGAAACAAATCTTCTATAGAGCTTATTATTATGATATTAGTTCAAGTATGATCAAATAGCATAGAAATATAGAGCATTCTTTTTTCTATCAGAATATATAGAAAGAAGGTTTCTTAAAGCTTACTATACGGTATTTAGATGCCACTGCCACTACTTTTGGTATGCTCTAAGTATTTGATTTCCACTTTCTTTTTTTTTTGTTATACACCATTTATCATTCTAGATCACTTTTCATTTTAGGGTAGTCATTGCTCATATTTCAATCAAGTAAGTTTATTCAAACTGCGACATCGATTTATATACATGTCTTTAACTTCACTGGCAAGCTTCGTAATGCGTCGCTGTACTACATATCAAGTTTCTAACATCAAAAAATGTTCCATAAAAACAGCAATTTTTAATATTTAAGCTGTTACGCGATTTATCGTTGATATTGCTATAGCTTAGTCAATACGATACAATTACAATAGAATTTTGTGTATCTTATATTATCTGATTCAATTGTTCTCATATTCCATGATTTTTCATCATATTATAACAGAGTATAATGAGTTCTCGAACTCAAGCGATAGTTTTATTGAGTTTGTTTAGTCTATAGACAAAGTAGTTTGAGTCAATATACAATGATTAAAATATCATATTCTATGTTTGATTGAAATACATAGACAAAATTTGGAAATATATAAAAAAAAGCATGCTTTTTTTGAAGGACCATAACTAAATATGATGTCAGTTCTTAATGTTTGAGTCTTAGTGACTCAGCTGTAGAATATCTTGAAACAATATGAAATACATTATTCAATGCAGAATTAAACGGGGTATAAGATGATGATATTTCTGTTTTGGCATTCATCTTTTCATACAAACATTTTATCAGAATACTGGCGAGAAAAGTTTATATTATGTCAAAAAATACAGTATTTTGACTTTTTGACTTCAATATCGAAACTGATGAGAAATGTTATATATACCATTTTGTAGAGCAACTCAAGTTCTATCGATTGGTATATGATTCAATTTGAATAGTGAAAAAAAAATTAAGAAAAACAATCCATAAATATGAATATGAAGTTACATTTAATTTCATTGAGAGGATAATATTCTAGTTTAGCTATTTCACCGTGAGAACATTTTGAAATAATGTCCCATATATGATTCGATCCATAATTAAATGGGCTACACAATGGTGTATAAATATTTTTGACAATCGATTTCTGACCTAGGTATTTGATCAAAATACTGAAAAAGCCATCAAATCGTATATGCAAAAAAAAAACGCGTTTTTTTTTGACTTTTTACCTTCAATACTGAGGCTGAGGAGAAATATCATTTATACCATTTTGTAGAGCAATTCAAGCTCTATCGACAAGTATATGACTCAATTTTAACAGTGGAAAAATTTGAAGAAAAAAATTCACAGAAACTAAAAGTTGAATTTTTTATATTTTCATGGAATGTCTCTTAAAATCAACATGTTCCTAACTGTTTTTACAAACGAATAGTATTCACAACTAGTAAATAATTGCGAAAAATAAAATTTTTTCCGTCAACCGAAATTAATAAAATCTCACTATTTTATGCGCAATTAGCGTTTCGTAACACTTCATCGAGGATTGTAGTGAGAAAGTGGAGTTTTTTAAATCAAACTATTTCATAAGGAACTATAGTTTTGTTTGTTTTTGTAAGTCAAATATTTTGATATTATTAAAATTTTTAAAAGCTGAATGGAACATAAATCGATGAAATGCACTTCTCATCAATGACTTCGTGTAACACATTGCAAAACATTTTTTCAACGTTCGGCAAGTATTTTGAATTGTAGTAAAAAAAACTTGTCACTTTCACATCATACATTAGCATGTTTTTTTCTCAAATTATCGAATATTTCCTAGTTTACTACCTATCATTTCGACGATAAATAAGCAATGGCATTGGTCGTATCAATTATTAAATGTACGTATCATTATCATATTATTCAATTATAAAATATGATGTTTAGTATTCATGGACATTTACAAGACGAAATACAAATTTTCGACATTAAAATGCTATTTATGAAAAACAATGTTACTTTGCATATACATTTAAATAACCAAATGATTAATTAATGGCTATATCTAATACTATATTATTATGAAAGAAAAAAGGTTTAAAAAAGACAAAAAGAAATCAACTATTAATTAGAATTTAAAATCTTATAAATCAGTTTTTATCGTTGATTGATTAGTTGAATTATTCAATGGTTGTTTGATTTCTGATGAACGTTTGTTTTTATTTAATCGTTTTTTATTATTTGTGTTAAATTTTTGTTTCGGTTTTTTATTTAATACACTTCGACGTTCACTTATTGTTATTTCTTTATGTTCTTCAATTTCTTCTTCTGTATTACCTATTAATTATATACAGATGTATATTATATATAAAATTGATTGAAAAAAAAACCGATGTTTATCTACCTGCATGACATTCTTCACTACAATCTTCCTTACGGCTGATTGGACATTTCATACGTTGCATACATTTATCATATGATAAGAATTCATGTGCCTTTGGCGATGAATAAACTAGATGATTAAATCAAATATTAGTCATTGTCCTTTGTTTGATGTATAAACTTACCATTAGACGTATCTATTTTATGTCGTTTTTCATGATGCTCTTCGTGTTTGTCTAATTGTTTATTTTGATGATCAGCTTGACTTTTTTCTACTGACTCACTGTGTACTTGTTGATATATACAAAGGATAAACACCACGAATATAAATAAATATCGTTCTGCTATATCCACCTAAATAGTATTAAAGCTTGACAATTACAAAAGTATTATGTACATTACAATATAAAAATATCTTATTATTTTTTTTCTTTTTCTTTCCTCCAATAGTTTTATTGTGTCTATTTTTGTATGAAGACAAATTGAATGAATAATCATATGGACATCTGGACGCTTCAAAGCGAAACGCAAAACACGTTAACGACGTATGCAATACATCACGAAGGTACATAGTGGTGCTTACACACATTGTGTATTATACCTTTTTTTTTAGCCTCTCTTTTCATTCGTATTCGACTGTTGTTGAACAACATCGTCGATACGCCGTGAGTTTGAAATGAATGATAATGATAAAATAATACGTAGTGTTCTTTTTTTTTTTTTTTTTTTTTTTTTTTTTCTTCTCTTCTGTTCTTCGTCATTCATAAGTAAAATATCTCGCAAAAGAAGCGTATCGTACGTTCGTTTACCATGAAAACAATCGAAAGAGACGAATACTATTAAAAGTCGACACACGAAAATGATTGGAAGAAGAATAATAATCAAATAAAAGATAAATCGACCTGTACAATCGGAAAAAAAGAATCATCTGTTTATTGTGCTTATATCTTTTGAAAGAAAAAGAAAAAAAATGGGTAACAAAGATTATTATGCCATGTTAGGTGTTAATCGATTGGCTAGTGATGATGAAATCAAACGTGCCTATAAACAAAAAGCACTTAAACATCATCCAGACAAAAATCATGGTGATGTTGACGCTGAAAAAAAATTTATGGATATTAGTGAAGCATATGAAATATTATCCGATCCATATAAACGTTCATTATATGATCGATTTGGTTCTGAAGAATTACGAAATTATTTAGGTACAGATCCACGTACACAATTTCCTTCGTCCGGTCCTTATTATTCAGATTATGGAGCTGATTTAAATAATGATTATACATATGATGCTTATAATAATTATTATGTACGTTATAAAGATCCATCAACATTCTATGATTTATATGTTACATTAGAAGAAGTTAATAAAGGTGCAACAAGAAAAATGAAAATAACACGTAGTAGATTTAATGCTGAACTTAATACAACTGTACGTGATGAAAAATTACTTGAAATTCAAATAAAACCTGGCTGGAAAGAAGGTAAAATATTCTTTAATTATATACAAAAATAAATTAAGACATTTTATCATTTATTTATTTGTAGGAACTAAAATTACATTTGAAGGTGAAGGTGATGAATGTGATCAAAATACTATAGCAGGTGATATTGTATTTATTATTCGAGATAAACCACATTCAATATTTGAACGATCAAATTCAGATTTAATTTATCGAGTTAAATTAACTTTAAAACAAGCATTACTTGGTACATTAATTGTTATACCATTTCTTGATTCAACAAAACCACCATATCAATATCGTTCTAATAATGAAATCATCACACCACAAACAGAAAAACGTTTTACAAATGAAGGTTTACCTTATCCAAAAGATCCAACCCGACGTGGTGATCTTATTGTTAAATTTGATATTCTTTTTCCAAAAGTACTTAATCATGAACAACGTACAATTGTTGATTGTTGTTTTTCAAATTCAATTGATACTTATCAACCATATGATTCTGTATTTCATAGTACAATTATTGAAGAAACACAACAACAACAACAACAACAACAATCATTTTCACAACCACAAGTATCACCACTACAACAGTCACAAACATCACCAACACCAAAACAATCAATTCCTAATTTAAATTCAACATCAATTAACAAACCTCAGTCTGGATCTATTAACATAAATAATTTTAATACTCCTCATCAAACAGTTTTAAATCGCAATGGACATCAGAAGTCATCAAATGCTCCGACTAAAAATCGTAATAAAAATACTAAAAAATCATCCGTTGATGCTTCTGCATCGATATCACCATCAATTTCGCCTGAAACAGCATCTATTAAGGAGACTGTTTTTTGATCTTTTCTATTGTCATCAATTATAACGTTTGTCCTTTTTTTTTTTTTTGCCTTATATAAATCGAATTTTAATTGTTCTTACATAATGCTGTATTAATAATGATCGAAGAAGCAAAATCATTTTGAATAAAAAGAAAACTAAAACTTATGTCTGTATAACTATTTTATTATTAAAATATATCGATTCTCGACTTACTATTCTTTTCCACATAATTAAATCAGTAATATACACTCACACAACATATGTATATTCTTACCATTGTTTATATGTTACGTTGGTTGGAACTAACAAAAGAAAAAATGGATATACAGTCAGTATCTCGTGTTTTCCTCTTCAGATAGAACGAGTAATAAGATTTATGAGAAATAAATATCTGATAGATAGATAGACGGATAAATATAGATTCTCGATAGTCCAGAATAAAAGGCACCGAACGAGAAAAAATTTACAATGACATTGTATAAATAATCATAGAAAAAGAACAATATTTATGAATAATATTAAATATAAATAATATTAGTAATATTATACAAAATGAAAAACATAATTTTTTTATTTTCTATTCTCCTGTTCTAATCCAACCAATTATTAACGACATCTGTCATCAATAGAAAGGATCACAAAATTCTCTAATGGCCAAAACTAAGTTGTAAAACTAAATAAGGAAAGAAGGAAGAAAAAAAAAACGTTTGTTTTTTTGCATATTGACGAAGTCATTTCTTGTCTTAAATCGATTGATCAAAACATGGTTGAAATACAAACAAATCGATCAATTGATATATCAAATACCATCAATACAGCGATAACGAATTGGTCACCCGATGGAAGAAATCAATTGTAAAAAAAAAAAAAATTCATTTTATTATATATTTATTTATTTATTTATTTCTAGTAATCAACTTTATAAACAATTACTTGATGATGATAAAGATAAATTTGAAGCTGAATTGGGTAAAATTTTAATTTGTTGTCTGATGAATAAAAAATGAATTTTTTTTTCTAGCAACAAAACAATTACTTGTTTCTTTATGTAAATTATGTTTACAAGGGAGTCAATCAGTAGAAACTGTTATTCGAATATTTGGCGAACTTCAGGTTAATTAATTATGCATAAGAAAAAAATTCTTTTTATTATTTAATTATTTATTTAGGAAATAGTTATATCTCCATCAATGATTGGGGATCTTCTAGCCGATATTCTTGCAACTCTTGGTTGGTTACTTTTTTTTTTTTTAAGTAAAAAATAAAATTTTTGTTTTTCTAATATAGATATTGAACTATTTCCAAATGATGATGCCATTACAAAAGATATATATAAACAAAGATTTTTTCAACTTATTAATAATTCTGAAGTAAGAATTGAAGAAGAAAAAAAAAATTTTATTTTCCCAAACCATTATCTATTTGTGCCGAAAATGTATAATGGATACTTTTAGAAAAGACAATGGCTTATTTAAATACTAGCATTAGGCTTTTGAATACAATTTATGTATGATAATTTGGCTAGTAAATATTACATAGTAAACATGAGTTTTTGGATAGGAAGAAAAATTTGTTAGTATTTTATGAAGTTTGAAATTATCATTGGGTCTTATTGATCAAAGAATTTATCGAATGGAACTCATAGTCAATGTTTACGAATTTAACATGCGATGTAGAATCGTGCCTTATCAATTTATAGTTTTAATTATCCACTATGAATATTTAAAAAAAGGGACAAATATATTTGAAACCATGTAATGGCACTTTTGATTAATAAATACTTACGATAAACTAAAAGTAATAACACCAGAACTATTATACCGTACAGAAAGCTTGAAAAATTTTTTTTGTATATTGATGCATAGTAGAAACAATTGTGTTTTTCTTCAGTCGATTAGAATTTTGATGAAAGACTCTCAACTTTTGCTTTAAATGGATAAGAACATGTTTCATTTCCTCATTAATGATGATTCTTATATTAAAATTGATGAACCTTGAGTGCAAGTTATTCTGAGTTATAACTAGGCACCAATGAAATCAGCCGGAAGTTAGTCATTTTCTCTTAGTATTAAGAAAATGTTGGAACGGATTATTTCAATAGATAGGATTATTTTATCAGGTCTTATTTAATTTCACTTTCTTTTCTTAGCATATTGTTTCAACAACATTATTAATGGAACGTCTTGAAATCGAAACATTAGAATATCTTGATTTAATTGTTAGTCGTGAACAATTTAGTCAAAAATATGTTCGAATTAAAACTCGTCTTTAGTAAGTTAATTTTCCATTTACATAGAAAATAGTTTGTTGAATTTGTCTGCTATTGTTATTCTTTTTTTTTTTTTACTTGTAATAGTTATAAACAACAAAAATTTAATTTATTACGTGAGGAAAGTGAAGGTTTTGCTAAATCATTAACGGAATTAAATCAAAATTTTTCAATAACTAAATTAACATCAGAACAATTATATGATCGTTTAATGGCATTAATTGGTTATTTTGATATAGATCCTAATCGTATGCTTGATTTAGTTATTGAATCATTTGAATATCATCTTGAATATACAAAAATTTATGTCGATCTATTAAATTTACTTCATTTTGATAAAGTAACATTATGTCATTTAATTGGTTTTAAATTTCAACAATATCAAGTAAACAAAATTCATTGTTTTTATTTTTTATAAGACTTTTATTTTTGAAATTTTAGTTACAAGATGAAACTGCTGATTCACTTTATTTATTAGCTGCTCAACTTATTTCAAATAATTTAATTGAACTTGAAGATTTATTACCACATGTAAATAAGAAAAATATTCATATTTGAAATATTTATTTAATTGTATTTTTCTTTAGTTATATCCATTAATAACAGATTTTTCGGATAATTATACAAAAGAAGTTGAACATGTACGAACATCAAAGAAAGGTTTAGCTTCATCATCAAATGATTCAAATAATAAATCAAAAGATTCAAATACAATAGTAAGGCATTAAAATAGATTTAATCAATTCCAAACATATAAGAATATAATAGTATAATAATGAATAGTAGGTAGATATATAAGAGATAAGTTTTTCTTCCATTCTATACAACGTTTGAAATGAAAAACAAAAGTGTGATCTTAGTTCGACAAGGGAATTCCTTCAATTGATTAATTGCTTTTGAGTCGAAACTATGCGCATCACGTACACCATAAGGAACCGTGAATAACCTAGAAAAAGTTCGTGCCTTTAGCTTATTGGCGCGGAGATATGACATTTTTACGGTGTTTTGTAAGTTAATGCTTGGGTCCTCCTCAGTGACACTAATTTTCGACTTGATACTTTGCACAGAAATAGACCCTACTAAGAATTTTGTCTTATGAAAGTTTCAGACCTCTGTATGACCAATGCAAAAGACAAGTTTTTACCATAGCTGTATCTTTTAATAGAAACAACAAAAAGATCACAAACTTTCACAATAGAGTATTCACGCTAACGCTTGTCTTCATGCAAAGTTTCAGATTGAAATTCAAAAATTACTTTTCTTGATGTACCTGACGAGAGATGGTCCTCAACTAATCAATCGCTATTGTGTTGAAACTATGTGCATTATGTAGGTACAAATGAGTTATGAATACCCTGAAAAACGTTCGGGCTGCCAGCGTATTGCTACTGAGATATTGCACTTTTACGGTATGTTTTAAATGAATGCTGTGGTCCTCCTCAGGAAAACCAGAAAAAATGATTTTCGAATTTCGACTTGAAACTTTACATAGAAAGAGGTCTTACTGAGAATAGTGTTTTATGAAAGTTTCAGATCTTGTTGCTGTTCCTATTTTGAAATGAGAACATGAAAGCTTCTAGTTTATCTGAATGAAGTTACCATAGTTGTATCTACGGATAGGAACAGCGACAAGATCTGAAACTATCACAAAACACTATTCTCAGTAAGACCTGTTTCAAGTCGAAATTCGAAAATTGTTTTTTTCTGGTTTTCCTGAGGGGACCACGGCATTTATTTAAAAATATACCGTAAAAGTGCAGTATCTCCACAGCGATAGGCTAGCAGCCCGAACTTTTATTAGGGTATTCATAACTCATTTGTACATACATAACGCACATAGTCTCAACACAAAAGAGATTTATCAGTTGGAGATCTTCCTCGTGAGAGAGATCACGAACTTGATTTAAACAGCTACTGTACAAGGGTCATATCTTTCCACCAATAAAACGATTAATCAGTTGGAATTGACTTAGTCGATTCTTTCGAATATCATTTGCATCATAGAATATTAATATTCAAATTTTCCTTCAAAATCATATTACTAAACAGATCGACGACCATTGATTTAGATAAAGAATTATTGTACTGATAAATTTCTTTTTATTCCTAGAAAACAAATAATCAATTATTACATTTCATTCAAGCATTATTATATGTCGGTGATTTAGAACATACATTATTTTTATTTAATAATGTACCTCGATGGTCATGTACATCATATCGAGAAATAAATACACTTTTAACAAAAATTATTTCTTATATGATTGATCCATTTTATAAAAAGTAAAGAAAAATCAAAAGAATTTATTCTTTATTTTTAAAATTTATTATTTCTTTTGTTTTTGCTTATTTAAGTAATTCGGATCTTCATGCTTGTTTTCTTCAGTATGAATTAAATAATCCATTAAATATAAATATTTGTCCACGTGATTTAAAATTAATTCAAACATGGAATGAATTTCGAGAGAATACATATCCATTATTATTACATCTTGGTGCCTATTGTCAAGATCGTCTTTTATATATGCAATTAACACGTTTATGTACAAATATAATTAAAAAACCAACAATGACAGATGAACAACAAGAAGATATACTTTTATTAATTGATGAAGTTCTTTTACCAAGTCTTTCATTACTTGATGTTAATAGTTGTTTAGCTATTGAATTATGGTCATTAATGAAATTATTTCCATTTGATATACGTTATGGACTTTATGGACAATGGCATGAAGATACATATAAAAAA